GTTCTCGGTTGAGTTGCATTTTTCTAATGACTTGGTGACACTTCAAAATTCACTGTACTGCACTGCACGTATTGTTGTCAAACTTTGAATTTAAGTTTACTAAAGAGTGAGGTTACGATTCAGTACTAACGTTCGATCCGCGCCGCCTACCATGTTTCTATATGCAAAACATCCGTCGTGCGCTCTGTAGACGAAAGTCCCAACTTGAAGAAGATGATCTGAAGAACCATACCCTGGAGTCTTAGCCCGTATTTTCTACCCTGCGAATAAATTACTAGCATTGTCTTTAACCACCCTCTATAGGCATTTGAGACATTTCGCAACGAAAAATTCCAACGCATTCAAGAGCAATTTCAACTTTTAAACACCGCTCGTCGAGTTATAATTTAAAACGTTTTCACACACGCCCTCCTTGCTGCTTCCTCGAAACTTTATCATTTTTAGCGTCGCCGCGTCGTCATACACCCCTTATACGAAGTTATTTTTCGTGCCGTGTATAAGCATGTATATTTTCTCACGATTCCGCCTGCGCTCCGAAAATATAATAAAACCTCCAAAGTGGCTATTTAACTTGGCGATTTTTTATTCATAAGTCGCAGAGAGTACATCCATTATCTGCCGCCGCGCAGGGAGTTTAGACGAAGAAGTTTCTTTGCTGCGAAGAATAACTGTTTTTTAAAAAAATAATCCGAGTGGCAATAGAGTACTTGGGAAGTTTGTGTATTTCGTTGAATCCTCGGCAAAACAGGCTCAACGTTGGACTGATGGCAGTTAATAGTACTGAAGATAAAAATTGTTCACCACCCCACCTAATTTCGATTCGAATTAGATTTTGAAAATCAAAGGTTTAGTGAAACCAGAATTGAAAGAAAATAGCGAATTTTCGTAAAATATATTCACTTGTAAAAATACGTTAGCTTGGTGCCTCATTGAAAAAAATCGTTGCATCGTTGTCTAAACAAGGTTAGGCATGAATTCAAGAATAATCGATATCCTTCTAGAGGCACCTGCTGCGATCTACAAACTTCCATGGAAGTTCACGGCTTGACCTGGAAAACGCTAGGACATTTCTCGACGCGTCGATAAAGGGATAAATACCCGACCAGATGGCGGAAGCAGTTAGTCACAGTCGAGACAGATAACGGCGCGGAATTAAGATGGAATAATGACCTAGTCGACAGGATCATAAATTGATTCCATCGCAAAACGGTTCTTACTTAAGAAATGATGGCCTTCGCGTTCGTTTTCTGGGCGCAAGCTATACAGTCGCGTTGATTGCTACTAATTATATTTGTTCATGGGATATTCTTGCCGAGTACTGTACTATGTGTTTTTTTAATAATCCTCTCCAGCGTAGCGACATTTCGCAAAACACCCATAAAAGTAGAAAGTTTCACTTATTAAATCTACACTCTGCGCTGTGAGCAAACTTTGCTAATTGAGTTTACCTGTGACTGTTTTTCGATATACAGGCGGGCAGAACAGTGTAAAGTTTTTCATTGTCAGAGCACGCGACATATAATCTGTTGGCGGTAAGCAGGCTTGCAAAAACGAACGGTTTCTGTCCTTAACTTTAACTGTGTTAGTTACGGTCCGTGTAACAATGGCATCTAGCTAGTAACAATGAACACACGAAGTCTGCAATGCTAAGTACAAGAACAGGTTGCTTCTTCAAAAGCCAAGAGAAATTGTTTTAAAATAATTTGAACTATGAAATAGAGTGTCTGTAAGATAGCAGAAATAAAACAGCGCGAAGCGCCACCTTTTACCAAAATCCCCTGCTGCGATGGTGTATAGGTTGGAATCTAAGGATCTTAGTTCACATTTGATAACCTGTCACATCTTCACTTGAATATGTTTTAAAGTCATCTTCACCGTTACCCATATTTTGAATATGTGTAATGAAAGACACACTGCACGGTAAAGATTTAGCTTTGATATATGAGAAGATTGAAAAGTTATAAAAGGCAAACAATGGCAGCTACAGTACCCAGCGTCTCAGCTATCGACGTCATGCGCTAAGAAATTTAAACTTTAAGTTCTCTATCAGGACCAGATCCTGTTCTAACCAGTTCGAAACTGGTTCAGGATCGGTTCAGAACCAAAATAGAGAGCATGATTATATCGCCACCAAAAACTTTCGGCTTTCTTTTCCTATGTTCAATTGTAACTTAATATACTAAGTGACATATAAATCCGAATACCCAGTTTAAATGGTTTTATTTTAATAAAAGTTGGTGAATATATTTATCTTACTGTAAATAATAATAATAATAATAATAATAATCCGGCTTTATTTATACAAAGTATAAAAAGGCGAAGTGTCGCTAAAAAGCGTTTTTCAAGTTAACTCAACAAATATTGATGTATATTTTCTAATCCCAATGAAAACAAGAGTTAAAAAAAAAACCTGTAACGAGTCCTTATTCATGGCCATGGTCTACTTACTGGGCAATGGAATCAGAGATAAAATTCTTCAATCTTTTTTTGAAATTCTTTATCGAGTAGTGAGTGAACTCGGTAGGCAACGCGTTGTATAGCTTGATAGCAGTATATACGTACGACCTTTTAAATAGAGATGTTGAATGTCTCGGGATAACCAAAATATGCTTATTCTTTGTGTGCAGTTGATTAACATCTGAGTATCTGATAAATTTGGTTGATAGATATGGAGGGGCTTGTGTTGTGATTACCTTATGGGTCAAGGTCAATACATGCATTTTTTGTAGCTCTTCTATTTTTTTGAACACCCAGCTCACGATATTTATGTGACACTGTCTCAAATTTTCTCACTCCACAAGCAAATCTGAGACACGCATTTTGAATAGTCTGAAGTCTCCTTATCTCAATCGATCTTAGTGCAGGCCCATAAATACAGTCACAGTAGTGAATTCTAGACCATATTAAGGTTTCGCACAACTTCAGTTTGAGACCAGTATTCATACTTTTCCTATGAGGAAATAATTGCTTCAAGACACCGAATGATGTTCGGCACAGTTGACTAACGTGTTTTTCAAACCTCAAATCAGAATCAATCCAGAGTCCTAAATTCTTGCACTCATTTTTTATAGGGATCGGTTGATCTAAAATGCGCAATGATAGTAATGGTTTTGCCTGACTTTTTTTGATTTTTGGTCCAAATATAACTGCGGATGATTTTAACGGGTTAATTTACAGATTATGGGTACAAGATACGTTAGATAAATTTATTAAATCATTATTAATCAAATGTTCGGCATTTTTTAAATCTTTAATATCGAAGAAAAAGTACAATTGAGTGTCGTCAGCATAGTGATGAATACTGCAGTGTTCAACGTACTCATGGAAGTCAGAAATGTAAATTGAGAACAATAATGGTCCCAGAATGGAACCCTGTGGTACCCCTAGTTTAACTGGTATCTTCTCCGAGATACTTATATAAAATAACAAGTGAAAAATTTTTCAGCCTTATCAGTTGGACATTCCGGTTTTTATACTGCTTCTTTTTAATTCACTAACGCTCTAAAAATGAATATTTCAGCCGCAGTAAAGAACCAACGTTGGCGGATTTTGGTTTTTGACATCCTTTACGATCGGTTACGATGCCTAGAGTACGGAGACGTGTACAATTTCTTCAACTTAGTGAGTTTGATAGGGGCCGCATAGTGGGACTTCGGGAAGCTGGACTTTCTTTTCGGGCAATTGCAGTTAGAGTGCCTAGAAGTGTAGATACTGTGGTTAGGTGTTGTCAGGCATGGCTTCGAGAAGGCCGTACGCAAAGAGCAAGGGGCACTGGACGCTGCCGTAGAACAACAGACCGTGAAGATCGCCGCCTAAGATTATTGGCCTTAAGGGACCGTTTCTCCACTACCAGGTCCATTGCAAATGAATGGTTTGCAGAACACGGAAGACCTATTGGCATGCGAAGTGTTTACCGACGAATGAGAAGTTTTGGCTTGTTTTCATACCGGCCACACTGGGTCCTCCCTTTAATTCGAGAACACCGACGTAATCGCCTTGAGTGGTGCAGACAACGGTCACTCTGGGATCAGGAATGGAACAGTATTATCTTTAGTGTCTCGATTTTGTTTAGGCATGCACGATGGTCGTGCCAGGGTTAGAAGGCGACGTGGTGAAAGGAGGAATCCATAGTTTTTTGTTGAAACACATGTTCATCACACTGTTGGAGTTATGGTTTGGGGTGCTATAGCTTATGGTTCCAGGTCACCTTTAATCTTCATCAGAGGTAACATGAACGCGCAGCGTTATATCCACGAAGTTCTAGAACCCCATCTTTTACCCTATCTTGACACCCTGGCAGATCCAACTTTCCAACAAGATAATGGCCGACCACATGTTGCAAGAATCACAATAGACTTCTTTCAACATAATGATGCCACATTGTTACCATGGCCACCAAGATCTCTCGACGTATCCCCAATTGAGCACGTGTGGGATATGATGGGTAGGAGATTGCTCAATTTGCAACGTCCTCCTCAGACTCTAGAAGCACTTCGAGAGGAGTTGGTGGTTGCCTGGAATGAGATACCACAGGAGGACATTGACCACCTGATCAGAAGCATGCCTAGGCGCGTTGGAGAATGCGTAGCACATCAGGGTGCATCCACACATTATTAAAGGTCAAAGGGCTTTAAAGCAGTGCAATCATTTTGAAATTTTTATCATTTACTTATTATGCTTCATTAAGTACTTATACAAAATTTTATCAAAATAAAACCATTTAAACTGGGTGTTCGGATTTATATGTCACTTAGTATATAACCTATAGAGATGATAAAAACAAAAATAATAAAAGTGTCTCCGGTCTACCACTCTTGAGAATGGAGTGACTAGAACAGTGCTAAAATTGATAGGTTCATAGCTTTTGAAGATTCTTCTGATCAGTTTTGAAACATTAAGTATATAACTAAGTGTAAAATCAACTAAGTGAAAGTAAGTAACTGGACCTTAGTGCGCGCCGATCTTAAGAAGCCGTCTCGGCGACCTAATGAGTAAAAACTTTAAACGTTATCACTTACCGCATTGGAGTGCGTCTGATCCGTCTTCAGCTCCTTGTGGTTGCTGTACTGCACGTAGACCGCTCTGCCGCGCAGCTGCGCGATGCACCCGCTGAAGTAGCTGACCATTGAAGTGGCGGCCGCTTCGTCGCCCATTTCCAGGAACGCCTGGTTCTTGCCCTTCAGGACGAGCACGTTGGTCACGCGGCCGAACGGCAGCCCTAGGTGAATCACTTCAGCTTCCGATACGTCGCTGGGGATGTTGCGGATGTGGATCACGCGCGAGGGCTTGCCCACGTTCTGTTCTAGTTTCACCTGGAACAAGGAAAATAGTTTTTTACATGATTCGTTTCGCCTTCAACACATTTGGTCCAATGTTTACTCAACATCAGGAGTCCTTCGCGGAAGCGGAAGTCTGGAAGGTATCTACAAAAACCAATTTTTTTGTTGAATTGCTGTTAATTTCCATTTACCATCGAGATAACATCGGATTATTATCGGCTGTTAGCTATACAACGCATTTCTAAAAATGAAGTGGAAATGCACCCGTCAACGAATCAGCGAGTCGGTGTCGGTGTATAGGAACAAACTTATTGAAGTATTGCGATTCACTGATTTTATAGCAAAGTCTACAAGGGTACGGTGAAGAGTTCTCGGCCTGACAGTGAAATACTGCGATTTTTATTTAATGAACGATTTAATTTTTTACATAATCTCCGTTGACTCCACACACTTGATTCAACCTTTCTTCAACAGAAGGATTCATTCTGGGTAGCGGAAACTATTTATCTATGTCCCTCTCAGCTACTTCATTGGACACACGGCGCGTTCCAGAAAGAAGTTTTCCAAATTTTGGAATAGATGGAAGTGTTGAGGGTACCAGATCAGATGCATATCCCGTATTTTCCATTGCTTTAACACTTTTGCAAGCAGGTGCGTTGTCCTGATGGAACATGTCCCTTTTCATCTTCGAACCAAGCCTTTTGTTACGACTTTTGGCAGTTGTTTGTTCAAGAAGATTGGAATAGTATTCGCCAGTAATTTTTCTACCCTTAATGTATACCTTTCCGGCAGATCGTCTTGTCTTTCTTTGGCGCATAACCTCAAGCTTCCACCTGCTACTTCGATTGCTGCTCTGTTTCTGGCGTGCAGTGGTGACCCGTCTCTCAGCCATGGTAACGAATCGCCACATAAAATTGATTCGGTCTCTATTGAATTGATCCAAACAATTGCTGCGATGGTCGTTTACGCGTTAGATTTTGATTGGCATGCAGCAAATGCGGTACCCACATTACGCAAAACCAGTTCATGTCTAGTTCTTTGTGTAAGGTGTTTACCTCACCTCCACCTGCCTCTCATACAGTACCATATGGTGGACCTTTTTCTACTGTTTCAGGTGTGCTGGCGGTTTCTGGCATGTCGTCGTGTGGGTGATATTTAACATTCAAGTTGAGATGCATACTTTTTTAACAGTTGAAATCCGCATAATAACTTTGCAAGAATTTCCTTAGGAGTTGCGATAGACATTCACTTTAAAACTTTATGTAGACGACTATCTATCTGGGAGAACAGGCTGGAACTTGTCATAAGAACAAAATGACATGTACATGTACACTCGTGCAAACATTAGAAAATTTCTCTTACTGGAGTGGTGCATCTGTGTCAGACCAAGAACTTTTCATCTTTTCCTCATAGATTCAGTTTCAACTTTATCCACCTTTTTCCTGATCGTATGTAAAATTTTACTTTTTAAACAGAAAGGCAAAGAGAACACCCAGGTACCGTTCTAGCCCAAGATTCTACTAATCCTCACTGTTCGCTTATATAAATGATTTCTCTCCAGCATCCTCCAAATACACTGTCTGTCATGTGGTACAAAACCTCACAATAGGAGCTCTTCAACCCAGATTTCTAAGTAAGACGCCCGCCCTAAATGTACCTCCATTGTCAAATGTTGAGCATGAACCTCTTCGAACTACCCCGATAATTAATATCAAGAAGAGATATTATTTATGGGGTAGAAGTAGTCTGCGAGAACGGTCGACCATTCATTTCCATTGAAAATAATTGCGCTGGTGAACGGGTAATGGAGACGCATTACCGTCGACGCGGCGTGTCGCTGTCTTTAGCGGCGACCCCTACCGTGCATGTATTGGAAAGCTGCCGGTAAGGTGTTGTTTTAAATCGGCAACTTTACGATCATCATATTTAGGCGATGATTAAGGGGAGGGGGTCTGAATTTGAGGCATACCTTTCTCTTCTGTTACTAAACGCTAAATCGTGTAATACAATCATAAGCTATTCTCAAAAACTGTATGTCATTCCAATACCATTTAACCTTCAGGACCCTACGCGGCATGTTTGAATTCATTTTTTTCTAACCTCAAAATGATCATTCGTCTAATCAGTGTCGTCAGCTGTATCTATACCCCCCTCCCCCGTAACATATTCTATCTATTCCAGCGTCCAAGGAAGGTTCCGAAAGATACTAGCGCCATCTATGAGACAATAGCAGAGCAGAAAATGAATTTAGGAATCTAAAGATGAAAATAATTATATACGTATTATACGATTCTGATACTATCTCATAGATGAAGTCACTGCTCCTTTATTCCTTCGGGCTGCTTAATGCCATATCTATCGGCGTTCAAGTGAAACATACTGGACTGGTAAGGTATCCGCAATCGCTTTGTAGTTACACCACGCTGTCTCGTGGGCACTTACCACGGTATCACCATGCAAGAACAGTATCGTCTATACGATTTTTCTGATGAGAGTATCCGTAACAGCGAGTATGTTTAATATACAGCAGCATGTTTCCTTTCTCTCAATTATATTGTACGGTTCTGATACATTCTCACAGATGACGCCACGCCTCAAAACTGCTCCTTTATGATTTAGAGCTACTTAATGCCATATCTGGCGACGTTCAAGTGAAACAAACCGGATTGGCAAGGTATCCGCAATCGCTTTCTAGTTACACCACGCTGTCTCGTTGGCACTTACCACGGTACCACCGTGCAAGATCACTATCGTCTATACGATTTTTCTGATGGGCGTATCCCTCAGCGAGTATGTTTAGTAAACAACAACATGTTTCCTTTCTCTCAATTATATTGTATGGTTCTGATACAGTCTGATAGATGACGCCACGCCTCAAAACTGCTCCTTTATGATTTAGAGCTACTTAATGCCATATCTGGCGACGTTCAAGTGAAACAAACCGGATTGGCAAGGTATCCGCAATCGCTTTCTAGTTACACCACGCTGTCTCCTTGGCACTTACCACGGTACCACCGTGCAAGAACAGTATCGTCTATACGATTTTTCTAATGAGCGTATCCCTAACAGCGAGTATGTTTAGTAAACGACAACATGTTTCCTTTCTCTCAATTATATTGTACGGTTCTGATACAGTCTCACAGATGACGCCACGCCTCAAAACTGCTCCTTTATGATTTAGAGCTACTTAATGCCATATCTGGCGACGTTCAAGTGAAACAAACCGGATTGGCAAGGTATCCGCAATCGCTTTCTAGTTACACCACGCTGTCTCGTTGGCACTTACCACGGTACCACCGTGCAAGAACAGTATCGTCTATACGATTTTTCTGATGGGCGTATCCCTCAGCGAGTATGTTTAGTAAACAACAACATGTTTCCTTTCTCTCAATTATATTGTATGGTTCTGATACAGTCTGATAGATGACGCCACGCCTCAAAACTGCTCCTTTATTCCTTCGAGCTACTTAATGCCATATCTAGCGACGTTCAAGTGAAACAAACGGGATTGGTAAGGTATCCGCGATCGCTTTCTAGTTACACCACGCTGTCTCGTAGGCACTTACCACGGTACCACCGTGCAAAAACACTATCGTGTATACGATTTTTCGGATGAGCGTATCCGTAACACGGAGTGTGTTTAGTAAACAACAAAATGTTTCCTTTCTCTCAATTATATTGTACGGTTCTGATACTGTCTCATAGATGATCTCACGCCTCGCCACTGCTCCTTTATTCCTTCGAGCTACTTAATGTCATATCTGGCGGCGTTCAAGTGAAACAAACCGGATTGGTAAGGTATCCGCAATCGCTTTCTAGTTACACCACGCTGTCTCGTGGGCACTTACCACGGTACCACCGTGCAAGGACAGTATCGTTTATACGATTTTTCTGATGAGCGTATCCCTAACAGCGAGTATGTTTTGTAAACAACATGTTTCCTTTCTCTCAATTATATTGTACGGTTCTGATACTGTCTCATATATGACCTCACGCCTCGCCACTGCTCCTTTATTCCTGTGAGCTTCTTAATGCCATATCTGCCGGCATTCAAGTGAAACAAACCGGATTCTTAAGGTATCCGCAATCGCTTTCTAGTTACACCACGCTGTCTCGTAGGCACTTACCACGGTATCACCGTGCAAAAACAGTATCGTGTATACGATTTTTCTGATGAGCGTATCCGTAACAGCGAGTATGTTTAGTAAACAACAAATTGTTTCCTTTCTTTCAATAATATTCTACGGTTCTGATACTGTCTCATAGATGATCTCACGCCTCGCCACTGCTCCTTTATTCCTTTGAGCTGCTTAATGCCATATCTGCCGGCGTCCAAGTGAAACAGACTGGATTGGCAAGGTATCCGCAATCGCTTCCTAGTTACACCACGCTGTCTCGTGGACACTTACCACGGTACCACCGTGCAAGAACAGTATCGCTTATACGATTTTTCGGATGAGCGTATCCGTAACAGCGAGTGTGTTTAGTAAACAACAAAATGTTTCCTTTCTCTCAATTATATTGTCCGGTTCTGATACAGTCTCATAGATGACGCCACGCCTCAAAACTGCTCCTTTATTCCTTCGAGCTACTCAATGTCATATCTGGCGACGTTCAAGTGAAATAAACCGGATTGGTAAGTTATCCGCAACCGCTTTCTAGTTACACCATGCTGTCTCGTGTGCACTTACCACGGTACCACCGTGTGAGGACAGTATCGTCTATATGCTTTTTTGGATGAGCGTATCTGTAACAGCGAGTATGTATAGTAACCAACAACATCTTTCCTTTCTCTCAGTTATATTGTACGGTTCTGATACAGTCTCATAGATGACGCCACGCTTCAAAACTGCTCCTTTATTCCTTCGAGCTACTTAATGACATATCTGGCGGCGCTCAAGTGAAACAAACCGGATTGGTATGGTATCCGCAACCGCTTTCTAGTTACACCACGCTGTCTCGTGGGCACTTACCACGGTACCACCGTGTGACGACAGTATCGTCTATATGATTTTTTTGGATGAGCGTATCCG